ATGCCGACTACAGTGGTGCGCATTGAAGAAAGCACCTTTCGCGGATGCCATTGGCTTAACAGCGTTACAGCACCTGGCTGCATTGAGTTTGGGTATAAAGCCTTTGCCGATTGTTGTTCGCTACAAAAAGTTCATGCTAATGGAGGAGGAGTCAACCATAATTGGGACACTACTTGTTCCTTGATTGCATTAACATAGCAAGCATGACTATCTTGCAAGATGGCCAAGATCCAAACGCACCAGACACAGCCATGTGTCGTGAGCTCCCCACAGGATGCTTTTGCTCCACAGGGCTGCAAGAGCTCCGACTGCCGCGGGAATTCTATGAGTTGGGAGCCCACGCCTGTGATAATTGTAAGCTGCTTACACAAGTGGATATCTCGAATACCAACATTGAGGAAATCCGAGAGTTCACCTTTGTGCACGGTATTAGGCTGCATGATGTCCGCCTTCCATATACAGTACACACAATTCATGTAAAAGCTTTCATGAATTGCGCGGCGCTCCCGGAACTGGCCATTCCGCCTTCATTACACTACATTGCCAGTAGGGCATTCCTTGATTGTACAGTCTTGAGGAGGCTTGTCAAAATGCCAGGTCAACGAACCCGTGGCGAGGCACGTATGCGGAAGAGAGTGCGTTTGTGCTCTGCCCTGCATGGCGGTGGCCGCAATGGCTACATACGGTCCCAGATCTTGGATGTGTGTCAGACCGTGGCTGAACCCAACAGCAGCACCTGGCATGCTTCGTAATGATTTGCCTGCAGCACGGTAGCAAAGTCCAACGCATCTACAGCTGAGCCGTTGATGACCCACTGGACAAAAACAGGGTGGCCCTCTTACATTGAGGGATTTCTGCCCAATGTGCCCAAAGAGCGCCAGATATGCTTGATAAATATTTCAGCCAGACTGCAATTTTCTGCCCACATTGTCCATACTTTCGAGCTGCTAGTGAGCGGGCCTGGTTGCGAGCCTTAGCTCCTGACCGGTGTCAGCGCGCGACGGTAGTTGATTGGCACCTGGGGGAGAGCCTTAGCTCCTCGTCTGGGCAGAGTCCGTACTCCGCCAATCATGTACAGTGCGGCTACATAGCAAACAGTTAGGTTCTTACGTTTCACTTAGTTTCACAAGGGCCATGCATGCCAAATGCCTCTACTGATTGAAACTGATCTGAGCTTTCGTTGCACGCACTGTGCGCATTTCGCTCCTGTCGGCGCAGCTGTTACGGAGCGATCTCAAAGTAATGTGTGCTTTCCCTCCTTGGAGGGGGAGCCGCGCCTGACACCTTCTTGTGTCAATTTGTGCAATGCCCTACCAGCACATACTCCCAACACAGGCCACAATCAACGCTGAAATTGCAATTGTGTGGAATGGTTGCGAATAGCTGCTGATTGTTTTCCAAGGCCAGAGTGTATTGCACTTAAAAAGCTCAAGGGCTTCCTTTTGTTATAGAAGCCAGCAGTCAACGCTTCCTCTGTCACTGCTTGTCAAACTGACACTCCACCTTTCAAGCTGGAGTTGGAGAGCTTCTTGAACGCGTTGGGGGGCCTGCACTTTCGGACAGGCTGGTCCGTACCAAGCTTGCAATGCACTGCCAACCAGCAATCACATGCAGCAGATGACCTGAGACGATGAGGGAATTCAAGGCCCGAGTAGTTTTGCCAACTCATGTTTTACCTTCTTTTCACCCGCATGTACAGATCAAAACTCTGGATGAGGCCTTTTGGTTTTTGGTTTTGTGTGTTTTGGTTCTTTTGGTTTGTTGCTGGTTTGTTGTCCCTTGTGTGTTTGGTTGCCTCTAGGCCTCACTACAGCGTTTCCACTTCTCAAATGATGACCTGTGCACACCGCACACATGGCGTCCGTACTCGTGCAAAAATATCCGTTTGAAGCGCTGGAAGACTTCGTGGCACGCTGCCGCAAGCCCAGTGGCTGGCAGTCTGCTGTGTATTGCCGATCGAGCATTCTTTGATTGCGGACAACTCATTCAGCTCATCAAAAATGGAAAAGAAAGGCCACGTGGCGAGAATCTTTGCCGAAAGTTCCACCTTCGACTTGTGTGCCAAGTTTCACAAGTGGCTCAACCTTTCCCTTCAACTCAGCCGATTTGATGAAAAACTGCGTAGAAACTGTAACAACACGCCAGCTTGCCAGCTGCAGCTGCCTTCGAGCCAAACTGTTCGGAAGCCACCGACGCAAGTGGAGTGTGTCCACTGCCCTCCTTCCCACCAGAGGAGGCAGTGTGCAATCGCTGTTCCGAAGAGATTTCTACCAATTGCAGGCCGCACTGCTGAATTCAGGTGTCCGAAGGCTTGGAGCAATCGAGAACTGTTCACGCTGTTTTTTTCCCATTGCCTGTTCAATGCTGCAGAGGAAGAGGGTTGTCCTGGTATTGTCAGAATTGTGCCTGCTCTTTTTGACTGCACAGCGTCGCATGACCCTTCACTTTCTTTTGGTCTATGCGACCTTCTTGAGTTACATGCCAGGTTGCTTGTTTGGTGTTGGTTGGTTGTTTTGTTTGTTGTCTGGTTTTGGTTTTGTTGGTGGTTCTTTGCTTTCGCAACCTGGCTCATAACTCTCTCTTGACAAACACAAGATGACCTGTGCAATCTTTGCACACATGGCGTCTCCACCCGTGCAAAAAGAAAGACTGGGCTGCGGCAGCGGGACTTGCATCATTTTCGACGTGCACACATTGGAACAGAATGATAGAAGTCCATATCGCCAAAGCTGGATGCTTCAGCGGGCATCCTCAGCAAGTCCTTCTTCCCTGCAGGAAGGGGTGCGAAACTTTCGGAGAACGGAACAAACGTAACCTTCCAGGACCGTGGCTGCTTTGCCCCTATGGGCCTCTGGCATGTCTTTCTTTGCCTTGTTGCACTGTTGTCATCACGGCAGCCTGGCACGTGTATTGGGGTGTGGTTTTAGCACTCAGGAGTGAGCACGCTGCCTCCACATTGCACCAGACAGGAACCTCAATGCGGATGCTTTGCAGGTGGAGGGGAAGGAGATGGATTGGCCATAGTTTGCATCGAGGATACCTCATGCGCTCTTGCCAATCTGGGTGTGTGTGGCAGTGGCAGGACTGCCTGTGCATACGGGTTGTCTTCACGGGTCTGGTCGCCTGGCCGACTGGCCTTCTTGTGACAATGTGGAGCAAGGCCGTCAGGCAGAAGACGTGTGTTGCGCTCAGTCTCTGGTTCCAGCATGGGTTGGTCAGAACACACACACAGTTCTGATTCCTTGGTCGAGTCCGTCAACCCTTTCGCTCGAAGAGTAACATGCGTTGTTTTTTGTCTTTACGCAAGCTGAGTCGTTGCGTCCGTTTGTTGATTGTAAGTCAAGAATGAGATTCCAAACACGGAGGAAACGCCTGTTTCTGCAAAAAATCGATCTTCTTGGTGTGGAAAACTTGTGAACGCTCAATGGAGCCAGTTGCTAACTTCGGCCTCATCATTCTCAATCAACCAAAATCCTTGACTTGTCACAGTGCCTCAAGCACGTTGTGAAAAGATTCAATCCTAGTTTGCACTTTCACTGGAGTCAATCGAGACAGTGTGCACAGTCGCATAGCTGGCTTTCGTTGGAGTTCATCTTTGGATTGTTCAATCAATGCCATTTTGGCAAGTCGACTCGGCTCGAATGACACGCCAGGTGAACCACCAACCCTGCGCGCCGTGCGCTGGGCGCACCGAACCGAGCGGAATGGTCATTTTTTTTTGTGCTTTTTGGATTAGTCAGACCATGCAGTTCCAATCATAATCTCAAAGTGCTGCGTGTGGGTCAGGCAAACAGTTCTGATCTTTGGTCTTGAATCTGTCCAACCTTCGAAGAGCCACTTCGTAGGAGTCTTCAGGGTGTGGAGGAAGGGTCTGATGACCACGTCCACTCACTTTCAATTTTGCGGAACCAATTTCGCTCACGCCACGCCTCTTGGACTTGGACAAAAAAGGCTGTGCTCGCAGCAAGAGTCCAAGTTGTTCAGGTCAAACTGAACAAGCATGGGGCCAACATGCGGGGTTTTGTCGCTGAGAGTTACATATTTGTGTTTGTTTGGTTTTAACGTTTCATTGGTGTGTTGTGACATTTTTTCAATTTCAGTTGTGCAACATATACAACTGAAACTTTCAACAAAACACGTTTGCAGTGGCACCACAAGTGCGTCGGTTTTGGAAAAATGGAAGTGATTTGTTTGCTGCTGGCGTTTGGCAGAAATTTCAGATTCAAATGAATTTGGAGTGGCCATCATGCTTTGGCACCAAGCGTCTCCAAATTGAGCCAGCTTTTGTTGAACAAATTGCATTCAGCATATTAAAATTGTTTTTTCCTGTGCCAGTGCAGATTGGTTGATTGCGTTTTTGTTGTGATGTTTTGTTATTCGGGATGTTTCAAAGTGGGGGTTTTGTCGGTGGCGGTGCGCTTTCCTGCTCGCTTCCATCACTCCGATGTTCCCACGTGGATGATGGGCCAAATTGGCCTCACCGCTGGCCAGTTTGTGCTCAGACAATGCTTGTCAACTTGTTCAAAACTTGGTCGCAAACTGCCAAACTTATCTGAATTTAGTTCAACTTTGGTGTGCAGACATCAATGTATTTGCAAAAAACTGGCTGAGGACAGGAACTTAGTTGTACAAAACCGGATTGTTTGTTGCGCTGTTGAGTTTTCAATCACCAAGAGAGTGAACTGGAAGACAGAATAGAACAAACATTAAAAATTGACAATTACGTGTGACAGGTTCATGGCGCGTCGGGAAAATGCCACTGCACACCTTTGGTGCAACATTTAACAGAAAAAAGGTGCTTGGATGAGAGCGTGGAACTTCACACCTGAGGATTCGTACATATTGTAAAAGGTTTGATTGGACTGCAAAGAAAATGTGGACATAATTTTGACAAACAATCTGTGCCAAGAACAAAGTGGTGAGGGAAAGGCGATAAAAAGGGATTGAACTGAGTGATTCACAATTGAAATTGCAATGCATATATGGTATTTATTTATTTCAGGTGGCTCAAACAGGCAATGTGAGGTGTTTTGTTTCGCAAGACCGGACAAACTTCCCAAGGCGTTGAACTGCATTTTGCGGAGTTTGAATTCATATTTTTCATTCTGTTTCATTAATTTATGGTTTGTCATATATGTTTTCTTGACAGATTTTGACTTTCAGGGTCTGGCGATGCTGTTCTTCTCCTTCTTTCGCACGCTGGTCGACCGAAACGTGCAGGTGGCAATCATATCATAGCATCAATCTTGAAACGGTACTTTGTTTGATTGATTTGAACTTTCAGTGGCTCTTGAGCCATTCGGGCTTAGTGAGTCAAGCATTGGTTGTTTGTTTGGATAGCACCGATTGATGTTGATATCTTTGCATGAAGGTGACCGTGGAGTTGAAAAACGATTTGTGCATCACAGGCTTGGCTTTCTCAGTTTTCTTCTGGCTGCACAGACAAGGGTCACGTGCCAGCAAACCAGTGTCCAGGAACTTTGCAGTCAGCAGACCAGTTTCTGAATCTGAAGCTCGCAAATGTGCAGCACTTGGCATGACCTGCCTCATTCAAAGCCACCTGAAATATTTGTTTAAGGTCAGCGTAAATGATCCGGACCGATATCCTCACTTGCTATCAGTCAAGAACTGCTTCATCCGAGGACCTGCAATTCAGTTGACATTCACGTATGTATATGTATATTACATACACACTATAGGTGCTGCCTTGACCGTGCAGGATCTGTAGTTCGATACGTCCATCTGCCGGCGCACGAGGCTGGTACTTCGAACATGGACCAACTTCTTGTTGGAGTGAGCAGACAGATTCCAAGGGGTCGGGGTCACCTTTTCAGGAAAGTCCTATAAAGAACTTCGTTCAGGTGGACACGGAGTCGCTGCAGGATAGCTGTCGCCGAGAAGCGAAACAGGTCGGACCAAACAGGTGGGACCAGTGCGTTTTCATGATACTGATTTTGCACATGTGTGAATAGGTATCACAGGAAGACCTTTCTTGCAGCTTGTGAGGTGAAATGATATGTGCCCTTCCTGCGGAGTGGGATGCTCCGCAACAAAGCGGGAGCACCAAAAGGTTGCGCATGGCAAGCATATTTTATACTTTTGTACTGTTTACACTATCTGCAGAGTCTAATGGTCTAATGATCATGGTGTGTTTCAGTTCGTTTTGTTCATTTGGACTTGAAAGCCCGTTTTCTGCTCTGGTCCAGGCCCGTTCAATTCCCGTTCAATTCTCACCAAAAGCGTGGGCTGTTTCAAGGTCCTTTTGGACATAGCCCGTAGTCCAATCCTGGCACGGTCGCTGCAAGCTGTCAAGCACTCATTCTTTGCCCATTCCAAGAATATGAATGATTATGTATGTAAATTGCTTAAGATAGCTATATATATATATATATCTTCATACATACACATATCGACTTTAGACATTAATTATGTCGAAGCAATGGACTTGCACAGCGGGTCACCAACCAGTGCTTTGCCAAGCTGGGTTCAGGCTTTCGCTGCGGGTGTGGATGATAAGATTCTCCGTGCTGGAAAGCTGTGTGAAGCTGCATTGGTGCTGCAGGTCGGTGCAAAATGTCGCTGGTGGTCAGAATCGCAGCAGACGTCGTTTGGCTGAGCATGAAGAACATAGCCCACAACCAGCCGCAGCTAATATACAGCGTTCAGTGTTTTGTATCCGCGAGCAGCTAAGGCATCACGTAGTCGTCATAACATCAGTGGATGATGTAAAGAGGTTGGAACTGAAGAGTTGGACGATGCACGGATGATCCTTAACTCATGCAAGCACCGCAAGCACCATCATGAACAGCAGGCGAGTTGTGGCTCACTTTGCTGCAAACCAATCAGTGCCTTGGCACGACAGAGGATACACCACAGCTTTCAGCATTTTCGCTTGACAGCTTCGTGACGGGAGCTTCAGTCTGAAGCACTTGTTGTCGCAGTTGCGATCGTTGCTGCGAGGTCTGGAAAGCCGTTCCTTTCTCTCAAATTGCTTCTGGACCTTTGCGTCCACCTGAAGACACAAACAAAACCCGCACACCACAAGAGGCCGGCATGCGTTCAGAATCACAACGTTTGCAAACGCAGGCAGTTCATTGGACCCTCATGCAAGGAGGCAAAAAAAGCAGATGGCAGGGCAACACCACCTTGGTACGAGCAGCTCAACATGGCGGAAACGCGGATGGAGGCAGTCCTTCTGATGTTGTTGATTTTGCTTTGCAGCATCTTAAATCTTTGATAAACACTCAAGTGGTCCACGGAAAGTATATCATTCGACATTGTTTGTTTCACCACCTGTCGAACTCATGACAGGCCGTCCAGGAAATCAAGAGGAAAGAAGAATCCCATGTTGCCACTCAGGCCCCCTTGCCAAACACATATTGCTGAGTGGTGTTTGACATCGCAACACCAGTTTGTCATCAGGAAAGGAGGAGATATTTGTGGCAGCAAGAGCAGCAACGAAGGGCAGAGGAGGTGCTGAGAGTGCATCCTTAACACAGAGCAAAGGCATTTCACACATGACAGGAGCACAGGCAACGCGAGGTGGAACGCCAAGCTCGAGAAGCTGCTGCAGAACGTGAAAGGCCCATTGAGTGGATGTGTAAAACAAGAGGAAACCAAGTATATCCAATCCTCGAAGAACGTTGCGTTCAGACTTGTATAGCTTCTGACAGGCTTCGTATTTTGGAGAAGTTGAAGAAGGAGAGAGAGGCCGTCAGACTTTTCATTACTATCCAAACTAGAAAAGCGTTTGCAGCATATGGACGTGAGTCGATTCAAAGGCTTTGAGCTGGTGATGTTGCTGTATAATGTCCTCACGGCTACCAACAGTGTATAATGATTCAGAAGGAAGAGCAGCTGCAAAAGTTTGAGGGCCTGTTGATGAGCAAGGAGGATGAGGCTTTGTATTTGAGTGTGTTGATTCTACCAAGGCACTGACAGATTGAGACCTTGCGAGGTTTCTACCAAGGCAAATGCACTTTGGAGGCAGCGTGAGGACGTGGCTCGGAGGCGTGAAGCTGTTTGAGGAGAAAGGTTTACGTTGATAAGTCAGCCTGCTGTGCCGGTTTTAGCTGTTTAGCTGATGGAATTATTTCTTTGACGATTTCGCTTTGCATTTTGTTTTGCAAGGCAGAGAGAAGAGGAAGAACGGCAGCGCCTTGATGAGGCGGAGTGGGTGCAATGTGGCTAAAGGTGGCGAAGAAATGAACAATAGAGTACCTCGCGCTCTTGCTCGGAACAAACTTTTCATAGATTGATGTACCCAGGAGCAATACCTGCTAGCTCAGAAGCTCGAAGAGGAATGGGGACAAAGGGTGGCTTTGTGCTTATGCCTTTAGTTGTCCCTTAAGTTTCCCTAAAGATCTAGGAACCAAATAAATAGTGAATAGTGCAAGCGCTTCTTCAAGGAAGCTGAGATGTCCTGCTTAAGTAAGATACTAGCTACCTAACTTCTACTAGCTACTCTCTAGCTACCCCTACGGCCTAACCCCCGCCACCGGGCTTTAAAACAAAACTTTTTCCAGGAGAGAGCTTCAAGACCTCGAATTGCTTTTGGATTAGCAAGACAAGACCGAAGCGAAGCCACAGCAAAGGCGTGAGAGATGCCCATGTCGTCCTTTCCTCCACGTGGCTTCGTTGCTTTCATTTCAAAGTTTTTCTTTTTTTCTGTCTTTTCATCATTAAAGCTGTTTTTTCCGGTCAGAAAAGCTTTGCCTTTTTCCTGCTTGTTTTCAATTGCCTTCAGGTCCCTGCTCCAGCAAAGGCGCAGTGCAATCACAACTGTTTGTCTCAGAATGAGGATAGCTTTTCAGTTTTGCTCGTTCTTCGTCCAGACATTCCTGTGCTTCCTGCTCTGCAGGTTCTGTCTGAAGTGCCGCAGTCAAGCGCTCACCTTGTTCTTCAGACTTCTTCAAGCAAACTGCTGCCTTGAGGTCAAAAAGCTGGGAGTCCTGGGAATGGCCGGCACAGGAGCCTGTCCAAGTTGTGCAATCTCATCCATTGCATCCATCAGAGACCTTTGCTTTGTCAGTGGCTCGGGTGATGGTGCTGGCTAAGCTTCGCTGCAAGCAGTTCCGCCCCGAAATGAGGCATCGAGAGTCTGCAAACGGTGCAAACAAGCATCAAGAATCTCAAGATACGAGACAGCCTCCACAACGTGGGCGAGGGCGACTGCCAATTCAATCGAATGCCGATTCTTTGAGAATCTTGCTTTGCATACCTTGCAGTATTTGAGAGTTTGATTTGCCTGTTGTGGAATACCAAGGGAGTCAATGAATCTCATTTGTTATTTGTTGCTAAGAAGATTGGTACACCCTCCAAATACGAGCGGCCGCAAGCTTAGATTCAACAAGAGAGCAAAAGGGTGACCCTGGTATTCAGAAGAAAGTGTCCTCAGGTCTATGAGAAGCACAATCCTGAAAAGCTCGCTGATGCCGGAAGCTTTCAAGAAGAATTCGCGGAGAAGTGAGTTCAGCTCTTGAAGTGGAGGTTCCGCACCTTATGCAGAAGTATGCTGGGTGCGAAGAGGAGATGTATGACCGAATTTGTGAAAAGTCGGCCACCTAGTGGGAGGCCATCGCTGTACGTAGGTTGGAGGCCACCGCTATCAGGACAACTCAAGCGCTAGCTCTGATGCCCAGGTACGGTGTGATGCCCCAAGCTCCACCGGCCAACCGTGGACGCCTGCCGCCACCTCCACCACCGGCACCACCAGCACCACCTGCACCGAAGGAGGGGATACCTTCTGTCCAATCAGCATGGATCACAGGACAATTGGAAAAGCAAGCTTTGACAGAAAGTTGTGTGCTTGTTGCCATACCGCAGGATACAGCTTTAGATTCCATGAAATGTCACGCTGTTAGCATGATGCAGGTGATTCAGCAACTCCCAAACAAGGCGCCAGTAGTGCGGGATACCAATTCCTTTTCTGAGTGAAACTTACAGCACACACTGTTATACAGTTTCAAAGCCAAATCTTAGGTCCCTTTCAGCAGTTCGTTTTTCCCGACGACTGCTTTCAGGCTGTTGGCTTTGCCCGCAAAGCCAGTGCTCCAGCTCCGCCAGCTCCGCCAGCCCCAGCTCAGAATTCTGAGGCGGGTTTTGATGGAAGATGGATGCGACTGACAGCAACGACATTGTTAGCCATGAGATTGGAAGAGTTTGTGGTGCGAATGCTCCATTACCAAAGAGGCCTGATCAAGACTGGCAGCTGTATCAGGGTGTGTCACAGGTATGCATCATCTTCATCACTATCACCTAAAGTTATGTTTACAAAGAGAATTCAGAAACGTGGGGCTGCAGGAATGCATATTTTCATCTCTTATCAGCATTACCAAAATTGACTCTTCTTATGAAGATGGACTTAAATTACCTGAGTGTCGGCAGGAAAACAGATATTGGGACCGGGCAATTTCCAAACTGCAGGACAATGGCAAACACGATAGAAGAAGGATCCTCGTCTGTGAAGCACAGGTTAAAATGTAGCTGAGATCAAGCCGCAAAAGTGTCTATGACGCTTCCGCTCCAATTGAGCTGGTGCAAGACATTTTGAACTTTACTTGAAGGCACAAAAGAAAGATGCGTGCTAACTACTGCCCGGCCGTACGGCAAAGCATAGGATGCAACGCCTTTCGATCATTGCTTGGCACCTTGTTACCACAGTGCTTGGTGAATCCACATGAGTTGCTTCAGGATGCTCCGTCCACGTCAGACCTAATGGCAAGGCATTTGCGGAATTATTTCCATTCTGTCATTCCTTGTGTACAGCTGTGGCTTAACAGGTTCCAGAACCTTGTACAGGGCATGCCGCGGGCAGAGGACCCTATCACTGTTTGGTTTGTTTGTCTTTAACACATTTCATTCATGTGGATGAAGAAGAGTTGTGCGGCGGGTCCAGACGAAGGTTTCAGAAGCGAAGTACATGTTCTGGCAGGCTGTCCCTCCAGATTTGCGAAGACGTTCAAGGCGGGAAGGAATGTGAGCAGCACCATTGAAATTTGAAGATGACACATGCTTGACATCCTTCGGAGGAGTCCCCGACGGAGTCTTCGGCGGAGTCCGAGAAAGCCTGCAGGTGGAAGGCTTTACGATGAAGGACAGCAAAGCCTGCAAAGCCTTTGGTCTCTGATGTGAGGCCGACCAGGGCGCTAGACCGATGTTATTTTAGCAGCCTTAGCATGGGCTGGTACCTTGAAAGGGCTATCAGACCATAGGGCATTAATTCTGTCCAGATTACGCAGGTTTTGTTTCTATTTTCACGGTTTCTGCAAGAATTGCTACTGTGTGCAAAGAGGTGTCTCAGGCAGACTAGTGCGGCTTGTACTCGAGGACGATATTGTGATGGCCAACTGGATGGAATCGATTCTTGGCACTCGCATGCTTTGATGTTTTGGAGTGAAGTTCTCGCGGATGCGGACTTGCAGGGGTATCCTCAGTGTTTTGTTTGTCACGTTTTTCAAGGTTTCAACTCCCATTGGTGCGAGAATGAGGAGGCCACTTCCTGCTGCGCTGGAAGAAGAAAGAGGCCTTTGCTGGTGAACGTTGTGCGTACTTAGAAGATCTTAGAAGTTCTTTGCAACTCTTCGGCAAATGCAAGGTTCTTTTCCACCAAAGCCTTCTGGGCCTCTCAACAGGCACGGAGTATGCATAGTCCTTGACAATCATCCCAGAACCTGCAGCTGCAGGTATGTTCATGATGAAGACGTCCACAATACAACGTTTGAGAGGCATGAGGAAGATTGAAAAAACCTTGATGAGTCTTTCTCTCCCCCCTCTCTATTTCACGACTCTAAGCCTGCTTCATCGTCGAAAGGCGAAGCAGATCACAGCTTGAAAGAAACGAGCATTGGCCAGCCACTGAGTGGTTCTTTTTAAGTTTCACGGAGACACTGTGACTCTGAGGTCAAACGATCCTGCACCTATTGGCATGCGAGCGCCCCGAAGCGACAGCAGGAGTGGAACATTCAGTTTTTGATGGGTTTTTAATTGAAAAGATAGAGCTTATTAGGTTGGAGGCCATTGCTCTTAGGTTGGAGGCCATTGCTCTTAGGTTGGAGGCCATTGCTTTTGGGTTTACCTTGGACTGGTAGGGAGAGATCCTACATTCCAGCTCCCAAGCGGCGCAGTGTGGGGCCCAGGTAGGAGCACAATGATCAACAGGAAAGCACTGAGAAAGACTTCTCATCCGTTTCTAGCGGGCAGAGAAGTGAATGAGTGACATAATGGACCAGTAGACTTGCTGCTTTGGGCACACTTGCAGATCAGCTGCTTCTCATCCTGGCCCAAGGTCCCTTGCCAATCGGTGCACCATTGCGTGGCAGTGCTGGAAGGTACAGAGATCGAGCTGTTCAGGAGTCTTTGTTTGTTCCTAGTAGCTTCTTGCTCCTAGTAGTAAGGCCAGGAGCCCCTAGTAGCGTCCTTGCTCCTAGTAGCGATGCCCTTTGTTCCTAGTAGCGAACATTGCTCCTAGTAGTAAGGCCAGGAGTCTTTGTGTTTCGTTCGTTGGAACATACAAACGCGAAGATCTCAAAGTGTGATCGATGTAATGAACAACTGAACCTGTAACGCACATAGTCCCTTCTCAAAAAGGATAGGACCGTTTGCAGTTCTCTGAATGCAGGAGCTTGCAGCAGCTGAAAGAAGCGGGAGAGCAAACACCCCACTGCAGCCGTGCATGTGTGATTGAAGCATTGTCACTGATCACCTTTTTGTGCCTTGGTCCACATAGTTTTGAAGGACATCTCAATTGAGTTGCTGTCTTGGGCTTGGCTATATACATATACCGTGCTAGCCAATCAGCCTCGAAGCGTGATCGGCAATGGGATCCCGGGGCATTGAAATCTGCATAACAAGGTATGTGTATATGTACATGGCACGTCCTGAAGGAGACTTTCTTCCCAACGCATCAGCATCCACAAGATTGCAAGAAAGGACATCACCGTGGTTTGTAGTGTTTGAGCGACTGTACAGGCACGGAGGTGACAGACACATCACAACCAACAACGTGGGAATAGCAGCAGTAAACTTGCAACCTTGTTGGAGATGGCGCCTGCTTCTGATCCAGCAGAGGAGAGATTCTTGTCGCAGTGGATTTGTGTGGATTCTAGATACTGTACCATGACAAATTGGTTTTTGATTTTGCAGGAGGACGAAACAGCGCGTGGCTCAATTGTCAGACTGCCCGGGTGACTTGAGCAGTGCACAGCCTCAGGACAAAGCAGAGAAATCAGAGACGAAGAAGAGTCTTTGCGGCACTGTCTTTGGGGCACTGCGAGTGAATTTGCACAATCCATAATACTGCTTGATTATTGCCGTTGCTTTTAGCTTGCATGCTTTTTTTGATAGATGTATCCTGCTACACACTGGAAGGCAGAGTGCAAGGGTCGTTTGGGGAGATATGGTGCTGTTCACACGCCAATGCTTTGCATAAACTGCTCTAAGGCTCTAAGGTGTTGTTTGGGATGGCGTGCCAGGCCCTATCCAGGTTGTGTTTTGCTGCATGGCAGGTTGGCGTGCAGTGTGCTGCCTGAATCCAATGATTGCAGGGGCTGTGCTCTGCAGGGACTTTGCCTATGCCAGAAAATCATGCCAAAGTTAAGCTGCTTAGTTATAGAATGTCAGCCAGCCTGTCAAACACAAATATGCTTTCCGATTATAAATACACTATATACAATATATATGTAGACGACCTAAACATACGCTTACCTGCCGCCTGGTGCAGCAAAGCTCCTGCCACTTAAAGTACTAGTTTCTTTTCAACACGGTAAAAGGGGGTTATAAGCCGACAAACTGTTTTGTCTTGATATGAACTTGCTTGGGCACAAAGGAGCTTCTCCAATCCTACAGTGCTCAGGGCAGCGCTTGACATTGTGTGACTTGGACATACCAGGCTTGCTTCAACTTCGCTCGCCTTTTGCGCTTCTTTGTCATTTGCAGCATTAAACAATCTGAGGAAGCACAAAAAGCAAGAAGCAGTTCAAGCAGAACAGCAAGGTACTCAGTGCGAATATTTCTCAAGGCGGTGGTGAATAAGTGTTCACCAGGAATTAGATTGAACTCATTAGAGGCTTCAGCAGTTGAAGCTTCATGGACATATTGTTGGATATGCAATGACAATACATATATATATATATAATATATATATATATATATTACGAGAGCCAGCCGATAGGCTAGGCTTG